AGGCACGATAGACGGAGTCCGTTGGGATACCACGGGGGTCGGGGGAACAACAAACGGGGAAGCCGGGATCCCGAAGTGGGACTATTTCCAGCGGGTAGCCAGTGGGTGAAGGGTCACCCGCCGGCGACGAAATTCCGAGCAGAGGGTGCCCGGCAGGCAGTTGCCTGCCCGCCGGCTGCCCGCTGCCGGCGACGTCAAAACTGGCCGCGGGTAGGTGGCGGGTCCCCTACCCCCACCTACCCCCCACTGGCTCTTTTTCACAAATAATGCCCCGGGAACCTTTGTGGAACCCGAAACTATGCTTAGACACCTTTAAACGTAATTGATGATAACACGTAGACAATTAACGGATCAAAAGCAAGAAACATACAGCACATATCCTATCATGCTTTCTAAACATAATTAACATGCAAACATACGAATTCCCACCCAATATATCAAGAATAACACCATACGAGTTTCACGATACATCCCAGGGCTTTAATTATATTTAAATCATCAAGAACGTAATTCATCTTTTAACACTAAGAAACAATACGATTTATCAAGAATATCACACAATCATCAAGAATCTCTTTCCATCATCAAGATTATCAAGATTACCCAAGAAAACATAACACCAATTATCAAGATCACACCATAAATATCATAAACGAATCATCAATACACAAGAATGTAGAGGGATGCCTAGAGGGAGATCATAGCTAAGAAAATAGGTTTTGTTGAGACATGGGTTACCTCTTAGCCTTAATTAATTCCTTGGCTGTGAAGGGTCTTTCTTTAAGATTCCTTCTTTCTTGATTTCTCCTAGGGAAGTTCTTGGAACTTCTTGTGTGGTGAGAGATTGTTGTGGTGTGGGTTCTAGGTGCCTCCTATGCCCCCCCCCCCCCCCCCCCCCCTATTTATATACCTAAGAGTCCCTAATTAGGGTTAGTTCTATTCCTTCTAGAACTAGGGGATTGGGTTTAGGGATAAGGGTCCATGGTCCATAGTGGACCATATTAATTAATTAAAGAGAATCCTAATTATAATCTGAATAGTAAAAGGCCTACTTCCTTTTATCTTTAATAGATAAATAGGTCTAGGATTCCTAATTAGAATCTGACTAGTAAAAGGTTTACTCTCTTTATTCCTAATAGGCTTAAGACTCTGGTTTAGGCAAGGGTCCGCAATCCATGGTGGACCACATTAATTAATTAAAGAGAATCCTAACCAAATTAAATCCTTTTTAATTATCTTTAACGGAATTAATTAAATAATTAATCCGGAATTGGAGACCGTAACACGGGTTGTTCTTAACAGCTCAAACACTTCAAAAATCTAGCATTTCTACCTATGAAACAATGGCTTCACAGAGCTAAACGTAAGATGGGTGTCCATGTGGTTATACCTTTAACCGAGCTCCAAAGCCACCAAGGTGAGCTAGCTACTTTAACGAGGAACCTGTAGATCAACCGATCCTCTTTCGTTACTCATACTATTATTATAATTGTATTTAAATATTCCAATATTCCCCTTCTTATATTATTATAAAGTTAAATGGGAAATTCGAACCCAAGCTATCCTCATACCACATCAATACTCTAACCATACCACATCTTATATAAGCTTAATCACTTTACCACATAATCTCCTCTATGAATCCAAACTGTCATCGGTAGTTGCCAACCAATATTATTTATTCCTAAAACCATTATAATCATTCTGCCATCATCATCTTCTACCGTCAACATCAACATCACCAAGCATACATACCCTTCAATCATTCAAATACTCCCATTAACATAACAACACAAAATTTTATTTTTATAAATCCAATTTTAAGAAATTTCAAAATAGCCATTTCACTCCATTAAAAATTTTTTGCGATCAATTGGTATTTGAATAAATTATTTTGTTGTCATTTTAAATTAATACAACACCAAAACTTATTTTATTCCAAAATCCTAAATTTTCGGGTACTTCGCGTACCAAGTTTTAAATCGAGAAATCAATATGAGTGAAACCGGAAGAACTCAAAGAAGCTTTAAACAAGTGTTCATCTAGAAAAATTTTTGAGAAAATTCATTTTCAACCCCAAAGTGTTTAAAATAGCATTTCTAGCCTTAAGTCCATGATACTAGGTGAACCACACCACTCCAAGAAACTTTGCCTGAGAACATTTTCTAGCCAAGCTTTTACAACTTTGCCCTCAACCAATCATTGACCTTTTTACCTAGGGTTTTGCACCCTATATAAACAACACTATCCATTTGTTATTCCCTGATCTCCATCATTGCCTCTCCCAAGCTCTTGTCTGATAGAAGTAAGAAACATTACAGTGAGTTTTCAATATTCATCTCCTCCATTCATTTCTCCATCCTATCTTAAGGTTTCCTCTTCTCTTAGCCTTCAATCTCTGAGGTTTCTTAGTCTTGGCTTGTGTTTGTTGTTTGAGGTGTTTAGGTGGTGAATGAGGTGGTGTTTGAGTAGAGAGGAGGTAGAGATCCATACAAGAAGAAGAGGCAACAAGAGGTATAACCCCATGGACTCCCTCCTTGATTTTGGCTCTGTGAAGCCTATTTTATTGAGTAGAAATGGTGGAATTTTGTTGTGTTTAAGCTTGGAAGTGATCTAGTATTTGTCTTTGAAGTGTTGAGAATGTTTTGGATGTTTTGGACATGCTTGGAATGATTTTTGCAGGTGAAAACACATATCTGGTGCACACACAGTGTGCACCAGATCAGAGCAGCGGCCTTAGCCGCGACCCATCAGGAGGGCCGTCAGCTAAAGCCGGGGCCAACCGGGCCTAGGGCACGGCCCTAGGAGAGGGTCGTTGCCTAGGCCCGGCCATGTAACGGCTTACATGGGGCGGCTCATGAGGAGTCCCGCCCCAGGTCCCTAAGTATTGATCTGAGAGGTTTTTGTGCAGTGGCCGGGCCCTTGTGGCTCAGCTACGTGTCGTTTCTGGCTAAGTATCACGGGCCCTTGTGGCTCGGTACCTCGGGGCCGTCTCGACGCACGTTTTAGCTTTGACTTCGTTGAGTTTGGATAAAAAATGAGCATGTTATCATGAATTTATTGAAGAAATTGCTACACAGTATAAATTGTGAAGTTCACTGTGTTTGAGAAATGCCTTGCTTTGTGTTCTGATGTTATTTTTGTATTAAGTAGAGAAGCATGATCACTTTGAAAATATGATTTATTATGAAAGCATGACTAAAATGTGATATTTGATCAATGAGATTTGAAGCATATTTTGTTGATAGAAATATATAGAATTTGCTATGTTGCAAACCGAGTATGATATTGTATCCTTGAGAATTTTATGGATTATATACATGGATTTGGAGCATGTTGTAGAGTATTTTGCATCTCACATATATCATATTTCAAAAATGCATAAGGGGCCAACGTGAGCCCAAGTATTACTTTCAAAATCCATAAGCATGTGGTATATCATTATTTGATGCATTGAGAGGTTGTAGAGTTGTTGCATGCATGAGATTGACGCACGAGAGATATATTTATGTATTATCTATATCGGTGAGGTTTTGGAGGACCTCTTTTGGACTATGTCCTCTCGGATGATTTTATGGACATTGCGGTCCCAATATATGTAACGCGGTGTATTCCCATGTTACGAGGTTGGAAACTGCCCGTCAAGCTTGGAATCCTTGTCAGGGGGTGTGTACACTTATAGTTTTATACTTGATTCCACATAGTTTGAGCATAGAACCAAGAGAGTGGTTCGATGGACGAGCAGAGTATTAGGTCGACTAGACGTCGTGCCTGGATAGGTTCATTCACACTATGATGAAGTTCCTACCTCGTCCATTTAAAGAGAAAGAATGAGTCATTGCGACTCTAAAAGAGAAAGAATGAGTCATTGCGACTCTAAGAAAGCAAGAAGTGAGTCATTGCGACTCTAAGGAAAGAAAGAAAGAAAGCAAGTCATTTATGAGTCAATGAGACCTCCACAGAAAGTATTCTATTTTACAACGAGTGTATGAGTATATTTATAGTATTGCACGAGATTGCATATGAATATATTTATAGTATTGCACAAGATTGCATATGAGTATATTTATAGTATTGCACGAGATTGCATATGAGTATATTTATAGTATTGCACGAGATCGCATATGAGTATAGTATTGCACGAGATTGCATGTGAGTAGAGTATTGCTTGAGATTGCATAATGAGAATGTTGATTTAACACTAGTACAGAAATGGTCATCCGCTACCCTTGTAAATGGTCATCCGCTACCCTTGTACAAGGGTAGCGGATGTGAGGGACGCTGAAAGTCGTGAGCTTTCCGCTACCCTTGTATAGAAGGGTAGCGAATATTATTGTATTTTTAAAGCATCCGCTACCCTTCTTACAAAAGAAGGGTAGCAGATTTTTATTTTTATTTTTTTAAAAAAAAAAAACATTTTTTTAAATCCCCAATTTTTTAAAAATCCTATACGAAATTCATACAGTACATATCAACACAATATTATCAACAAACTATCAAAACACTATTATCAATAAACTATCAAAACACAATATTATCAACACATTATTATCAACATACAACACATTACATATTAACACAATATTATCAACACACAACACACTACATATTAACACAATATTATCGACACACTATATCAAATACTAAAGTAAAAGTAAAGGAGCAAGATCACTTATTCCTAATGTAATAATTTTTTATTCAAAGTGATGAGCATGCAACCAAAACTAAAACTTACGTAATAAATTTGCATATGATAATAGATACTTTATACTTTTAAGTATATATGCATGTATAAAAAGAAGGAATAAAGCACATGATCTTTAAATATGATTAGCATGCTACATTCATCACATAGATCGATCATAAATAAATACAGTGTATAGTGTACTTTTTTTTTTGAATACTAGTGTACTTAAAAGCTCGTAATGAAACGTTGACAAACCTCTCCACTGCCGTCTTCCTCATCATCATTCACTTCAGACTTCCATCAAGAATCTCAGTATGTGTGAATTGTTTTAAAGCTCCTTCCAGGCTTGCAATATCTCCATCAATTCAACTATAAGGTCCATTATTCTTTCATGCCTCTCAGATTTGCCTCCACAGCTCATGCACTCAATCTACAAATTATATCATTAATTTATCAGGAAGGAATTTCTATGGAGATCATATAAATCAAAATTTTTACAAGCTCCTAGAAGACCACAGATTACCTTTGAACGAAGGAAGCCCCCAAATGTAAGCCCAATGAGACTTGTCTGCTCTTCCAAAGAGCATGATGTACGGACACCTGCTTCCTTTAAGCAAACAGATTGCATGGTCTCAATGACATACCTACAATTTCAATATGAGTCAACTATGCAAGAGCATTTGGAGGAGTAAAGTGAACGAATCTCAAAGGCTGTACAAGTAAGCTCACCTGAGAAATTCATGAGCATCTTCTTCTCTCCCATTACCAAGACTGCTCACAATATTCTCCAAATGGGAAATTATCCGGATAGGGGAGAGCGGAGAATTCCCATTCTTTGCTTTTAGAACTAAACTCTCAAATTCACAGTTGAAACACCAATCTTTCTTTGCACCTAACAAGAATATGAAAACAAGATAGGATCACTTTCTTTTAATGAGAGAATAAGATTCAAAAATCAATTGCATAAAATTATTATTGAGAAACATACATCCTTTTGAATGGAAGCCTTGAAGGAAGTAAGCCGTGAAGGGTGGAGTAAACGCTAGGCACTGAGGGACAGCATTAGCATAACAACTGCAGGATATTAAATAAAAGTCATGCATTTGTAAAACCCAAAAAAGTCAACACTTAAAAGCTTTCTCTATTAGAGTGAAGTTCAGATTATTAAAAATACAGAAACATGGGTTACAACACAAGCCAAAAAGAAACAATGTTGGATGGAAATTCAAAAAAGAAATTTATGCTCTATGGGATCTCATAAATTATACAGAGTATCTCTGGTTAGCTAGTCTAGAATGTAATGAATATGTTAAATGGATAGTCAACCGCAAGTGATATCAAAGATGGAGCAATAGAATAGCCAACATAAATTATGCAGGAACATCATGTGGAATTTTACCAAGGTGTAAGGGAGAAGATTTGGGAATGTCACACATAATGGTACTTTATGCACCTTAGTAGAACATACATAACAAATGGTCTAACTAAAAAAAAAAAAAAAAACAACATAACAAATGTTCAGTTACATAGTTACATACTGATCATCAATTTGTTGCTTTACAATGGCCTCAAACTCTAATTCTGCTATAAACTAATTAAATAGAAAAAAGTAGAGAAAGAATGTAAAACAACCTGCTAAACAAAACGTTATTCCAAGAAACAAACATAAATAGATCAACATGCCAAAGAACAAATACGATGGCCACAGCATACTATAGGAAAATATTTACCTTCAGTCTGTGAGTCAGCAACAAATCGCTCTAAGCAATCAACAAAATTTGTACCATTGAAAGGGTCCCCACCAATCCCCACACAGGTTGATTGCCCTAGGCCAACAGTAGTTGTTTGGAAAACCTAATACATAAGAGATGGAATCATTACAAAAATGTATGGCAAAGTTCCATTTTTTTTTTCAATATTCATGCCACATCACAATTTAATGATTTATGAGTTAGAGACCATGAGTGTGGTGGTTAAGTGGATGGCAAAGGACCTGAGGGACATTCTTGTTGGCTAGGTAGAAGCTCTGGCAGTGGTTAACCTATTAAGATAAATATAAGTTTAGAACCACATAGACTTTTTCCCCCTTTTTGCCAGAGGAATGATGTGCCAAATATATATATATAATGAATACAATGTAATAAATGACTGTACTAGTGCACTATACATACTGTTCTTCCATGCTTATATTTGGATTGTGACATTTTCATATACGGAGTAATTGATTTTACAGATATTGTAATCTGGACTATTCCCACTGTTTACAGAGAAATTTCAGACCAAAGTAAGGTTTAAAAGAAGAAGAAACACCGTATGGAAAAAATTTCTTCAGAAGCATGTTTCTTTGTGTTTTAGAGTTTATTCTTTAGAAATAAATAGCAGTTGGATCTTGAGAGGTGAGACCTAAAAATAAAGTAAGGTTCCAGAGGCATACCCAATTATCAGAAGGATGAGAGAAGAAACACAGAAAACCAATTGATACCTGATACGAAGCAGCAGCGGGACTGATAGTTGTGGCAGTGGAGACGGCGGATGAGAGCGTTGCGGCGGTGAGTCGATGAACAGGTGGAACTCGCGGCACGTCGATCGGCTGAGGAGAACTGTCGCGGCGGCTGAGGGAGTCGCTGGTGAGGCGTCGGCGCCGGCGTGTGTTGAGGGAGGGAGGTGAGGCGTCGATCGGCGTGTGTTAAGGGAGGGAGGTGAGGACAGAGAAATGTTGAGGATTGTGAGCGAGGGTTTTCGATGAACCCTTGCTACGAGAATTATTTTTTCTTTTTTGAATTTTTTTTTTTTAGATATTGTTTCCGCTGCCCTTGCTACGAGAAAGGGCAGCGGGAAACTCTTTTCGTCTCTTTTTTTTTTTAAACCGCTACCTTATTTTAGAAAGGGTAGCGGTTTCTTATTCATTTATTTACAATAATGCCACCGCCCTATTTTTTTTAAATAATACACTACCCTTGTTTAAAGAAGGGTAGCTTAAACTCTAATTTCTTTGCTCCATTTTGTACTCGTGTAAGATTGTATATCGAGCATGATTGTTAGTTACATTTGAAGTCTTGTATATCCAGTTACATAATGAGAACTTGAGAGCATGAGAATAACTTTCGTATGGTTTATTGGTATGATATTACTTGTAAGCATGAGTTGCTTGATAAGTTTGTTGTGCCGTTTACATGTTGATATATCTAAGTTGTTAAGTCTTTTGTATCGAAGCATGCATGTTGATATTATAGGTTGCAAGCATATAGAAAGTATGTGATATGACTATAGTTGCCTATGAGATGAGTTTGTTGTATACGAATGTTATCAAATGTTTTTCCAAAAGTATATTTATAGTTTGAGAGGTCTAAACTCTTTATGTCTTGTTTATGACTTTATCTATTGGATTTTAGACTTATGATATTTGGATGTGTTTTGATGATGTAGACATTCGGGTGTGTTTATTCCCCTTATGCTTTATTTAAGTTGATGGATGGTTAGTTATTTACTTATTTTCTAGTTCTACCCTTAGCATGTGCAATCACTGCGGAGTGGTGGTTGTGGCGGTGACATTCCCACTAGTTATCTTATTTAAGTTATTTATCTGCTGCTTAGTTATGTTAATTATGGATTAGAATTGTAATTAAGTTTTAGAAAAAGTGGGGTGTTACAGTTAACATTATCATACTATTATTAACAACCATTAAACTTACATACTAATCACTTCATTACGACCATAATAAACATCATCAACCAAAAACTCACCATTTTCAGCCTCATCTCCATGCCACCTCGGCCCATAGGAGTCCACTTCCGGTGTTGCTGCTTCGCCGGAAGGGAACTGCACACACCACCGTCGGAAAAAGGGAGAGGGTCGCCGGAAAAGCAAAACTGAGTCCCGTCGTTAACAGATCTGCTGAGCTACCCCGAGTCCGTTGTCTCTCCGCGTAAGCTGCTCACTTCGCACCTCCTGGTCGTCGGGAAACTCGAGCTCGCCGGAGAAAAAGGAGGATACCGCTGCTCCACCCTCGCCGGAAGTAGAGGATGTCGTCGTTGCCGTCATCTGCCGCCGTCATCGTCGGCCATCCGCGTCGATCTGCTGGTCCCGAGCCGATGGTGGTTTCGCCGGAAAAGAAAAGAGAGACAGAGTGACGGGAATGAGAGCTGTTTGGTGGTTTGTTCTCAGCTGAATAAAATAGCTCATCAACCATGTACATTCATATACTATAATATGTTAATTAGGGCAACTTACCAATTGGGCTAGGACAAGGATAAAATTAGGGCTCAACACTTGGGTTGGAACAAAATGATTGGACTAGAAATACATTTGGACTTAAGAATTTAAATCATTTTAGGATAGGAAATCTGATATGAAGAAATACGGGTTCGTCTCAATAAACTTTTTGATTAAGAAAAAAAACTTAGAATAAATCATCGAAGGAATAAAATAATTATATTTGAAACGTTATAAAATAAGAATTTGGAAAAAAATAATTTGGATTGTCACACTACCCATCATATTGTATGTCACCATAGCATGTTGACTAATGCAAAAGAGACCCAAGGTATGTTTGTTGAACTACCTAATGGAGGCAAAGCTGATATTACACACATAGGATCTGTTTGTGCTGATGATTTGGTTCTGCAAAATGTATTCTGTGTGCCTGCTTCATTACAATCTAATCTCTGTCCATGAGCTAATTAAGACCTCCAAATGCAAAGTGTTGTTGTATTCTGATTGGTGCATTATACAGGATCAGGAATGTGGGAAGATGATTGGCTTGGCTAACTTGCAAAGAGGGTTGTATTACCTTGTAAAACCAACTCCTCCTGTTTCTAATAAAGTAGTACAAGCTAGAGTCAATTTCTGTAATTCTGCCAATACTTGGCATGCTAGATTAGGGCACTGCTCTTATGAAAACTTGAAGCAATTACCTCCCTTGTTGAATGTAAATTTCAAAGTGAATAAAGATTATGTTTGCAACACTTGCCATTTAGCAAAACAAAGAAGATTGCCCTTTTGTACTAGTTCTACTATCTCTAGTGAATGTTTTGATCTGATCCATATTTATATCTGGGGACCATACCACACACACACCATATATGGACACATATTTTTCTTAACCATTTGCATTCAGTTTTCCAAATCAAGGACTTGGGAAGCCTAAAGTATTTCCTTTCATTGGAGGTTGCTAGGAATCACACAGGTATATCCCTAACTCAAAGGAAGTATGCCTTAGACCATTTACATGATGTAGGTTTCCTTGAGAGTAAACCTGTAAAGTGTCCTATGGTCGAGACAAACAAGCTCTCCCAGGAGGATAGTGAAACATTATAGGATAACACTCAGTACAAAAGATTGGTGGGAAAGCTCCTATATTTGACCATCACCAGACCTAACATATATTTTGTTGTGCAACAATTGTCTCAATTCTTAGACAAACCTACTATTTTTCATCTCCAAGCAGTCCAGAGAGTGCTTAGGTACATTAAAGGCTGTCCTGGACAAGGTTTGTTCTTCCCTGTATATTCCAATCTGAAGTTGAGTGGCTTTGCTGATTTAGACTAGGCAGCTTGTTCTGACACAAGAAGATCTGTCACTGGTTACTGTGTGTTCTTGGGAAATGCTTTGGTATCCTGGAAGTCCAAGAAACAAAGCACTGTCTCTAGATCATTCTCTGAAGCGGGGTATAGAGCCCTTACTCTTGCTGTTTGTGAAATACAGTGGTTGTTCTATCTTCTTCAAGTTCTCCAAGTGCAGACAGTAGAATCAGCCATCTTGTTCTCTGACAGCAAATCTGCAATTTCCATGGCAGAAAATCCAGTCCTACATGAAAGGACTAAGCATATAGATATAGAATGTCACTTGATAAGAGAGAAAATCCAAAAGGGCATTATAAAACTCTTACAGGTTCCTACTGAATATCAGACAACAGACATCCTGACTAAACCCCTACAACCTATGCTATTTCAGAAGTTTATTTCCAAGCTGGGGTTTCATTCCAAGTACACTCAAGCTTGTGGGGGGTATTAGAAGAGAAGGAAAGAAGTTAGATAAGTTGGTTGGTTAGAAATCAGTTAGTACTGTTAGTACTATTCTTTCCTTTCGGTTAATACTGTTAGATCAGTAGCCATTGTATATAAACCTAGTGTATCTTCAGGGGTGACCACGGTTAGGTTCGAACCTGAAGGTTCGAACCGAACCGTGCACTATTGAACCAGAATCGGAACCGAACCATCCATATGGTTTCGGTTCCGGTTCCTAATTATTGGTTCCGGTTAAGGTTCGAGATGAAAAGGAACCGGAACCGGCGGTTCCGATTCCAAACTGGAAAAAATTAAAAATTATAATGTTTTATTTATTTATTTTTTTAACTAAATCTGGTTAGAACCAACGGTTCCAACCGGAACCACCGGTTCTGAACCTGAACCAGAATCGGAACCTTACTATAAGGTTCTGGTTCCGGTTTATCCATTTGCGGAACCGGAACCGATGTATCTTCTTCTCATTTCTCTTCTCTCTGAATTCTGTTCTGTAATATGTTTGGTTCAAGGGATCTCAGATTACTAGGGTAATCTAAGAAAGATAATCTTAGATGACCATGTTTGGTTTAGGCAGTGTTGCAAAAATGGCTCGGCCTGCTAGGTGCCTAGCGTTTTATTCCAAGTTCCCAACCCTGGTAACTCAACTGAACATGAACCACAGAGGCTAGACCTTTGCTTACTGCGCACAAGGAGCCCCCTCTCACTTTGAGAGGTTGTTCCCCCTCTCACTTTGAGAGGTTGCTCCCCCTCTCACTTTGAGAGGTTGCTCCCACACTGCCTGTGACACCCCGTAAATCCAAACACTGAACGAGGATTAATTGAAGAATTAATCCAAGTTTCCTTGCTAATCTATTTATAAAAATCCTGAAATTTAATAGTCAAAGGACTAGATTTTGACTAGTCAATTAAGTCAAAGGGTTGTACCTTGTGCTTCTTGAGTTGTGCCCTTGTTCCATTGTCTTTCCAACATTAGTAAGGGTAGGAATGTCTTTCTACCTAAGAATTGTGATTCAAGCTAACCTAGCAAGACTCTTTCATTTCATTCACCCTTCAACCTAAAACACAAAAACTCTAGCCTCTCTCTAAAATGATTTAGCTTCTTCTCCAAGCTAGAATTTTAGCATCCAAGTCTTGCAAGATTTTCTCCCAAGATTCCTACTTTCTTCATCTTGAGCATAGGGAAGGGTAAGATCCTTAGCTTTTTGGTATTTCTAACCTCCTTTTAGGTGTCTTTTTCTAAAGTTAGGATCTTTGTTGTGTTTTGTTATGTGTAAGAAGTTGGTGTGGAAGAGGAGCTCTAGGAAAGGCTTTTAAGGGTGAAAAGAGGAAGTTGTTAGGCTACAAAGGTAACCCATGATTTACAAAACCTATTTTCTTACTTATATGATGATTCTTGGCTTCTACTTGTGATTCTTGTGTTGATTTATGAGATTTGATGCATTATATTGTGGTGATGCATGTTAGAACTTGTTCTTAGGGTTCTTGAATGCCATTGCTTGGCTATTTCTTGGGTTCAAATCATATTATTGTTGTGTGTTAGATTTTGGGTGTTTTGGACTTAAATTTGGACTTGTTGTTGAAAATCCCCGAAGGGATATTTTAGAGTACAGGTGGTACCCGCGGGCGGAACGGCGGGCAGAGACCTACCCGCCGCCCCACCCGCGGGGTACATGGCCTCGTGGGTGTATGTACCCACGGGTGGAACCGCGGGTGGAGGTCCACCCGTGGCCCCACCCACGGACGGGGTACACTGTGGGTGTTGGCCGGGGATTTGTTCAATTCCCCGTGATTCTTTTGTCTCGGTATTGATGTTTTGACCTCCCGTTGTTGTTTTAATGGGCAATTTGTGTGTCTTCTTGATGTTTCGTATGTCTAGAACGGTGTGTTAGGAATCCATGTTGGATTTGGTGTCTTGAATCGTGCTAAGGGTCCAACTTTGTGATTCGTTGGGCTAATGTAATTTTTGAACGTTCCTTGGAACAAATTTTGGTTTACCCGTTTGGTAAGCATGCTAGTTTGATGTTGATATGCTAGTATGTGTGGTTTGTTCCTTGGTATTGAGATTGCCAATTTGTGTTGACAATCATTTGGTGTTGGATTGGAATCCTTTGTTGATTGGGTATGGTCTCATGTCTTTATTGCGATCTTTTGATTGATTCATATGATATGATCGTATGTAAATTGTTGTACCTTTGTTGATACTCGATTAAGACTATTGTTGAGTCTTAGACGTCTTGGTAATGATGATGACCTTGTGTGACTATGATTGAGATTGGTGGTTTGTTACTTGAGCTTTGCTCACGAGATTGGCGGTTTTGTGATATTATATTTAATGGTACCCTCGTGTACTGAGAGATCGGTGGTGAATAGGAGTGTCGGCGGGGGGCGACGGTCCCCGGAGGCAAAAGGTTGGATTCAGAAGTACAGGGTGGCACTAGGAGGTAATGGTTGGAACCGAAATAAGGCCAGGGTAGCCATAAGGTTGGAACAGGGCATAAGGTCTGAACTATGATACTCGTGACATGTAGTTGTCACTGTGGCATGTAGTTGTCACCGTGTGAATGTGAATTCCTTGCTTATGAGCCTGTTTTGATGTATCCTACTTTGTGATTAGTATGATGTATCCTGAGTTTTGTTGTCTTTCATGTTTGTGGTATTGTTGATGTCGTGAGGATGATGATCCTCGTTTCTTTTGAGAGTGATTGATGAGTCTTAGGTGTTGACTTCTCTCTTTGGTTTTGAAATGATATATATTGTATTCCCGTTCCAAATGGTTTTGATTATATCTATCTACATATGTTATTTAACTTGAATTGATGGGTTACCAGCAATATTCGCTGACTGGGTGTAATCCCTTGATTCTGCAGGTTTTGAGTAGATGCTGAGAGCGCTAGATGTGGATCGCTAGATAGAGTAGCTACCATGTTTAGATGTTACCTTTTGTTGACATGTGTGCCTAGTTTAGCGGCATGTGTGCCTAGACGTTTATTATTTTGTTGACTTGTTAGTTTTCCCGCATGTGCACCTATGT